ATCCTTCACCTGACTTAAAAAAAAATTCTTAGAATGTTACACCTTCATTTCCTGTTTTCTACCTTCAATTTTGAGTACCTTTTTCTTTTGATGTAACTTCAAACAGAAGTTATAAGAATAGTACAAGGAACCCCTGTATGCTGTATCCTTTACCCAGTTACCAATTATTAATACTTATATCTTGCCCATTTGCTTTATCATTCTCTCTCCACTTTTATATATGTGCATTTTTTGAACTACTGAAAGTAAAATGGAGCATACCCCTTTTACTTCCAAATACTTCAGTATATAAGAACAAGATAATTTTCTTACACAACCCACAATATAATTATCAAAAACAGGAAATTTAACACTGATAAATACTATTATCAAATTCATAATCTATATTCAAATTTTGTCAGTTATCCCAATAATGTCCCATATAGCTATTTTACCTTCCAATGTTTTATATTACTGTTATTTGCTTTTTATTCTAAGATATTTCAATAATCTTGTATTATTGCTATGCTTTCGTCACATATACATCACTGTATATTTGATACACTTCAAAAGGACGGATTGCTGAAATACCATGGTAACACAAATAAGTCTGAACAGTCCTTATGTATACCCCAGAAAGATTCAGGTTCCATAATCAGACTTTCTAGATTTGAACTCTGGCTCCCCAAGTACTATATATTAGGTAAATTGTTTCACCTCTTTCTGTTTCCATAACTATAAAATGGGAATAATAATAATAATCCATATCCAATAAGGATATTAGGAGGATTAAATGTGAGAATACATGCTAAGTGCTCAGAATAATGCTTTGCATTTAGTTAGTGCTCAACAATTATTATTTATTTATTTATTTTTGAGACAGAGTCTCGCTTTGTTGCCCAGGCTAGAGTGAGTGCTGTGGCGTCAGCCTAGCTCACAGCAACCTCAAACTCCTGGGCTCAAGCAATCCTGCTGCCTCAGCCTCCCGAGTAGCTGGGACTACAGGCATGCGCCACCATGCCTGGCTAATTTTTTCTATATATATTAGTTGGCCAATTAATTTCTTTCTATTTATAGTAGAGATGGGGTCTCGCTCTTGCTCAGGCTGGTTTCAAACTTCTGACCTTGAGCAATCCGCCCGCCTCGGCCTCCCAGAGTGCTAGGATTACAGGCGTGAGCCACTGCGCCTGGCCTCAACAATTACTTTTACATAGGCACCACCTATGTTAATGCACTCTTGGGTTGACAGGACCCCAAGAATATCAGAATCATTGGTGGAACTGATGCTAAAACAATAAAATGAAAAAACCCATCCCCAAATGATATAGTTCCAACCAACAAAAATAAAACTAACACTTTGTATCATTTCAAGGAAACTATTCAGTATGTATGGCAATAAAATGAGCTCTAGAGCAACCACTGGAGGTAATAATATGGCTCCAGAATAAAAACATTTAAAGATTTAAAAACAGAGAGCTAGGTGAAACAGGCTATGGTGCCTTTCTATGGTCCTTACAGAATTTTATGTCCTAATGCAACGCATGCAGTGTGAGACAGTATCATTTACATGATGGTTCTCTTGCTAATGACAAGTCATGAGGATTTTTTAGATACAGCTTAAGTCAACACTGTCAACCATTTCATAATTTTTGACATCATAAATGTAGTTAAATTTGAATAGAAAGAGATATGTAAGGAGAGTATTACTGGAATTGTTGCTAACTTTGCCCTACTCCCACTATTAGCAAATGAAGCTGTTCCCTGTTAACGACAGAGAGAAATCATGACTGGCCCAGCAGAAAGGGCTGAACCAAATATGCACCAGCTTCTGAAAGCAAAGGTCTGTGCTAACAAGGGTTTAGTATCATCTCTAGCGAACTGGCTTCTGGCAAATTGTTTCTTCATGGAAACATCAAATGAGTGGAAAAACTCCAAGTAGCATGACCATCTGCTCTGCTACAACAAGCCCTTTGACAAAAGTAATACATCAAGGGAAAATGTCAAGCACATGGGGTTGATCTTCCATTTTCTGTTCTGCTCAGGAAAAGGTAAATTTTCCTCCAGGATTTTAAAAAAGTAATTTTTCAAAATAATATGCTTTCCAACTTGGTGAACATTTTAGTATCTTAGCTAGACGCATTTTAAAATTTTATGATGTGTTCAAAATGCTACTGAGCAATACTGGATACAAACAAGTGCTCCATTTCCAGCTTTCTAAGTGCCCTGCTGAATAACTTTGGAAAGACCACTCTGCTTCTCCGTATTTGTTCTCATATATAAAATAAATACTCACAGATTCTCAGAATTACTAAATTTCTTTTAAAAACTTCTAAATTATAAATTGTACTGATTTTTTTAAAAAAACATGAACACTCAGAATGGTCAATGTAGGGGTTCTCAATGGCTACCATGAAGCCCCTCCCTTCTACTCGATCCTGATTCACCACTTACAGGTAGACTTTTACTATATTTTAGTAGATATGGTAAAAAAAATTTGGTGCAATCATAAAGAGGTGAAAATTCAATTTTTATATTTTGTATGTTTCAGTGATGTCTGCCCTGTTTTCATAAATAATCTAGAATTGGTCCTGTTATTATTATCAAGGTTCCTGCTACACCAGGATTAGTGGTATTTGTTAGCATGAGATAGATAATAAACAAAAATCAACTGTCAAAACATATGAAAACAGGCTTTAAAGAATAATTGAAGTAGAGCTATAAAAGACTGATGCTCTTTGTTTTGCTGTACATAACTCATTTCCTCTCAATATAACCTCTACATTCTTGGGAAAAGGTGGAGAGCATTGTCTGCCCTCCACCTTCTGTGGGTTTTCAGGTCCAAGTAACAAACAGTATCGAACTTCAGAGCTTCTACTATTTCACAGGTTTCAAGACTAACAATCACAATATTTTTCCAAGTCACAATATTTTTTCCATAGTCACAATATTTTCCAAGTCACAATATTTTTCATGATGTATATGTCCTCATTTTTTTTTAACCTAATGTTCACATATTTAAAAGCTTGGCAAACGTTACATTTCTATAGTAGGAAAAATCTCGTTTATTCTAAAATCACTGAAATCTCTTCCCAGGTAAAGAAAGAAAAGGTTTGCCAATGCAGTAAAATGTAAAGATGATGACATGGCTAAAGAAGGGACTCTTGGTTTTCAGGCTTTCCACAATCTTCCTGCATTGAATGTCCATTTTTAGAATACCAGTACAAACCCCCCACCAAAACCAACCAATTTGTCTGATGTACAAACATCTAGATCCTGACTCTTAATATCATGTGTTTAAACAGTTCAATATACTGAACCAAAGCTAAGGAAATGGCCTTAAAATAAATTATTTTAAGTCATATGTAATCACAGCTACAGACAAATCAGTTGCTTCTCTTGCCACATAGCCCATCAGAAATTTTTATGAAAAGTTCAGATGAACTTGGCGCACTAGGTAGCTTTCAATAAAAGGGGAGCGCATATTTTTGGCTTTGGGCGCTGCACGAAAACACCACTTTAATCCTAGTTTGCATGTGAAACACGAGTCTGAACTGCTTCCCACGCTGGAATCCTAATCTCTAAGGGAGCTGATCAGATTTTGCACGGAAGCTGGCACGAAGCACCCTGGAAACAGATGTCTGTTGCTCTACCTGTCCCGGCGGCGGACAGACGCAGATACCCAAGTTTCCAGAAGTTGGGGGACAGCCGAGGCGGCGCTCCCCGCACCCTGGAGGACCGGGCGAGGGAGACCGAGAGGGGCGGGCGCGCACCTTCTGGCCGCCGTGTTACCCGCACCTTACGGCCCCCAGGGGTGGGCTGGGCCTGTCAGCTCGCCGAAGAGTCAAGCAGTTGGTGGGAGAAAACTGCTGCTGGTGGAGGAGAGAAAACATTTTTTTCTTTTTAATTTTGGTTTTGTTTTCCAGGACACCACCCAGAGGCTCCCGCGAAGAGCCTGGCGCGCCGGTCGGGCGGGAGGCAGGGCCGCGGCGGCACCCGCGGGGTCCCGGCTCGAGGCAGCCCGCGCCTCCCGGCATCCCCGGCGGCTTCTCTTTTAAATTTATTTTTTAACTTTTCGCCCCCGCCGCGGTCCCACGGCGGCCGGCCGCAAGCCGGCTCGGAGCCGCCCGCGCCGGCGCCGCCTGCGAAGGGAGACTCACCTGCGCCCGCCCGGCCGGAGGCAGCGGAGAGGCCCGGCGGCGGCTGGGTGCGCGGAAGCCGACCGCGGCGGCCCGCGCCGGGCAGAGCCGGGGCCGGGGCAGGCGTCGGGAGCCGGGCCGGCCGCCGCAGTCGCCCGCCCGCCTCGCCTCGGCCCTCGACGCCCGCGGAGCCGCAGACTCGGCGAGACGCGGGCGGCGCCTGGCCTGAGCCTACGCGGCACCGCGCGCCCGGGACCCGCGCGCCCCCGCTCGTCCGCGCAGGCGCCGAGCCGGCGGGGCGGGGGCGCGCGGGGGCGGGGCGGGGGCGCGCAGGGCGTCTCGGGCGCGCGCGCTCCGCCCCCTCCTTCCGGAGTCTCGGTCTCCTCAAAAGGGGCGGAGGCGGCAACGTTGGGTACCCCCGGGAACAAGGCCCTGGTGACCTCATTGCTTTCCACGCGACCAGAAGTAGATATCTCCTTTCCCTGCTGGCCAGTGTTGACAGTCACAGAGTAGTTAGTTAACAGGAATACCGGAACCTCGCCCTGGGCCGGTTACTACGTGCGCTTTACCTCAGTTCACCTCGCAGGAACCAGCCAACCGGATGTTACTGCCCCACCTCACAGACGGGCGGCAGCTTCCTCGTGCCGAATTGCCCGGGGCGAGGTGGCCAGTGGGAAGCTGAGCTGTAGGTAGCACCCAGGGTGGGACTCCACACCCAGGACTCAACCCTGGTGGTACGCCGCCGCCGCCGCCGCCTCCCCCTGCTCCTGCTCACTCCGCTCCCCCCTTCCGCCGCCTCCCCTTCTGCTCACCCTCCTCCCCGTTCTCCTCTTCCTGTTGCTACCCCTCACTCTGTGCCTTATGCGCAATAGTAATGATGTTTACCTTTTTAAATGCTTTGTTTCACCGACGCACGCAAACAGTCTTGCGCGATTGTCTCAGAAGCCTGCGGAGGGAGCGTGCGAGAGCCAGGCTCTAAGCGGTCCAGTGAGTTTCCCAGAGTTGCACTGGTAGGGCCAGTGCTTACGTTGACAGGTTTTACTGTTGTTGTTGTTGCTGTGTTTACAAAGCACCCGAGCCCAGCTTGGAAGGGAGCGGGTGTCTCTTCCCTTAGGTCGAGGGGAGGGAAACAGGGACACGGCAGGAAAGGAGCTTGTCTCGGTTCCCATCTTTAAGGATGTGCAGTTAGAAGAAAATCGGCCCTGATCACTCACTCATGGCCCCCTCTAGGGCAAAGTGAAGGTAAGAATCAAAGGCACTCAGGCAGTTAGCACCTGCTCACGGGGTGGGAATATGGACTAAATTGTGCAGACTGCATCTAATGGCTGTTAGATTTAAACCAAGGAAACGGGGTTGGGTTATGACCGCAATGGCTCCTTAGCAGTTGGCCCCCAGACCATTCCAGAGATAGGTCCAAGAAGAGGTCACCCCTCCTCTGTCCCGCTCCTCACTTTGGCTTAACCAAATTCTTCACTTTCATTCATTTAACACGTATTGATTGCAAGCTGCTGCTTTTGTCAAGGTCACCCTAAGAAACTGCAGTAATTTTTTCTTCTCTAAATTTTTCCAACTTACGCAAAAATTGAGTTTTTACATCAAATGAGTTTGGAAGCTGCTGCTTCTGTGCCCCTGCTTGGGGGTCCATGAAGACATAAACACAAAAATGGGACTCCGAGAGGTCCTAGGTCAAAAGACCAGTTTAGCCTTGTTTAACTCAGTTTCCCTGAGGTATTAGGCCTGGTGTGGGGTGTTGGGCTTGCAAAGGTAAGACCCATAAGGATCTGCTGAGGGAGGAGCTCACAGGTAGGGAGGAACAGTGATTGTGATAACAATTGTGTGCCTGCACTAATAGAGACGTTTGCAAAGTGCTGGCAAAGCAGAGGAAGTGAGCAGTCCTACCTGCATAGGTCAGGGAAGGCTTTGCAGTTAAGAGGATATTTAGGAGTTTTCTAGGTGTAGAAAACGAAACAGATCATTCTATGGAAATAACAGCATATTTAGAGGCATATAGGTATATCTTTGGGTTGGTCTTTGGGGTAAGCATTATTGAGTATTATTCAAGATTCTCTTTTTTTTTTGCATGCATTACATCATTCAAACTGGATTAAGCAACAAATGGAATTCATTGACTCACATAACATAAAAGTTTAGCGCTTCAGGCATGGCTGGATCCAGGGGTTTATTTATTTATTTATATTTTTTGAGACAGAGTCTCACTGTGTTGCCCGGGCCAGAGTGCCATGGTGTCAGCCTAGCTCACAGCAACCTCAAACTCCAGGGCTCAAGCAATCCTTCTGCCTCAGCCTCCCAAGTAGCTGGGACTACAGGCATGTGCCACCATGCCCAGCTAATTTTTTCTATATATTTTTAGTTGGCCAATTAATTTCTTTCTCTTTTTAGTAGAGACAGGGTCTTGCTCTTGCTCGGGCTGGTTTTGAACTCCTGACCTTGAGAGATCCTCCCCGCCTTGGCCTCCCAGAGTGCTAGGATGACAGGTCTGAGCCACTGTGCAGCCGAGTGGGCAGGGAGTGGGGGGTGGGTGGGGGGGTTAAACTATGACATCAGGATTTAGTCTTTTATCTACATTTCTTGACTCTATTTCCTTCTGTGTTGGCTTTTCATTCTCAAGCTGCATTTCCCTATGGAAGGATTTGAAGGATGGCTTCAAATCACACCATTACCAGCAGACAGTTTCTTTTCCCCCACACTATCAACAAAAGTCCCAGGACTGCATCTCATTGGTCTAACTTAGGTTATTTGTGCATCACTAACCCACTATCTTGAGAAAGGGCATGGGATAGTCGGATAGGCCAGGCCTGGCTCACGTGCTCACCTCTGGAGCTGGGGTGAGGTCAGCTCCTCTCAAATCTCAGGAACTGGGATCGGGGAGATCCCTGTGCTAGATATTTTCTGTTGGTCTCTCCAGATCTACTCTCTACCCATTTCCCTCCTGATTTGTGCCTCAACAGGCCAACCTGCATGGACTGCTTCGATAGGTCCCTTGTCCTCTGGCTTACAGTTGAATTCATCCAATAGAAGACATCGGAAACGAGATCCGAGGGTCAGAGGATGAAGTAAGGGTGTTATTCCACTGGCCCCTTCTTTTCTAGGTTGCTGCAGGTTGGTTAGTTACATACATTTACTGAAGCATCTGTCAAGTGACCTTCTTCATACAGGCACTGTCTCCTAGTTCTGGTAAATTCTCCCTTCTCCTGCCCTAGAGGTGGTGATGGCTCCCCTCTGTTGCCAGGCTCAGGGTATCATACAATCATTCCTGCTTGTTTCCTTCAACCCTGCCCACGCTTTTATATATAACTTTTGCTAAACTCTCCTTAGATCAATTATCTACTGGGACCCTCATGGTCACATTCAGCAAAGGAAATTCAAATTTCTATTACTAAAGAAAGGGAAATGAATAAAGAGCAGTAAGACAGTGATACTGGTTTGGAAAAGGAAGTACAATAGTGCAGACCAGAGGTGCCTGTTGCTTAGACTGGGTCATGAAGCTGGAAGTGGTGAGAAATATTAGGATTCTGGCTGTATCTCAAAGGCGACGTTAACTAAATTTACTTTTGAATGAAATGTGAATTCTGTGTAGTAGAGGGGAGTTGAGGACAGAAGCAGCTGGAAAACATACACCGGGAGCCTAGGCGTGAGCTCAGCCCAGGCGTAGGGATTTGGGAGGGAGGTGTGGCGGTTAGTTGAAGTCATGATGGGCTCAGACGAGATGACCCAGGGAGACATGTGGAATAGACACAAAAAGGGCAAAGACAGACTCCAGAACAACACCAATCTTTCCACGGTGGACACAGGAAGAGCTGCCATCTTGTACCTGTCATCTAGATTGTGAGCAACTCGAGAACTTGAGCACAAGAACGGAATCTTCCACATCCTGCCTCTGCACCATTGTGTCTAGCAAGGCGACGGGCACACAGTGTGTAATAAATGCTTGTTATGAATGAACCTGACGCCGTCTCGCATTTCTAACACCCCCCTCCCTCTCCTTGCTGTGAGGTTTGAGTTACAGGCAGAGAAAGACAGAGAGAGAAATTGATCTCCATAGCTCAAGCCACTGAAACCTGTGGTGAGGTTGATAAGCCTTTTGCTGTCCTGGAAAACTTAAGTAGAACCTGCCAGATGATGCCGCAGATCCGAGTAGCCCATCTCTCGCCTTTTTGGAGAATTTCCAGACAGGTGATTTCGTTTCAGATTTTCTTATTTTTATTTGAGTAGATTTAACAGTCAATACTCTAAAGAGTCTTCATTAGGTTTGTGTTAGGTTTGTGCTATGAAAGTAATATATGTGGCAAAAGATCTCTCTCTCACACTCATACACTGCTAGGGGAATGTAAATGGATGCATCTGTTTTTTGGAAAGTTAGCCAGTTTATCAAGCTAAACATACACCTAATCTATGACCCAGAAATTCCACTCCTAGATCCTAGATGTATACTTAAGAGAAATGTAGGCAAATGGAAGGAAGGAAGGAAGGGAGGGAGGGAGGGAGGGAAGGAAGGGGCTTATACAAGAATGCTTTAAAGATTTTTATTCATAATATCTCCTAATTAAGGGCCAGGGACAGTGGCTCACGCCTGTAATCCTAGCATTTTAGGGACTGAGGCAGGGGGAGCACTTGAGGCCAGGAGTTCAAGACCAGCTTGAGCAAAAGCAAGAGCCCATCTTGACAAAAAATTAGAAAAATTAGCTGGTATGGTGGTGTGGGCCTGTAGTCCCAGCTACTTGGTAGGCTGAGGCAAGATTGCTTGGGTCCAAGGAGTTTGAGGTTGTAGTGAGCTATAATGACACCATTGCACTCCAGCCCTGGAGACAGAGCAAGACTCTGTCTCAAAAGAAAGCAAAAAAAGAAAATTCCCCCTCAGAAATATTCCAAATGTCCATCAAAAGAAGAATGGGTAAGCAAACTATGGTATATTCAAACAATGGAATAAGTACTTATACAGATAACAACATAAAGAAATCTCAAAATAATTGTTGAGCAAAAGAAGTCAGACATCAAATAGTACAGATGCATGATTTCATTTAAAATTCAAGGAGAGGTAAAACTAATCTAAGGTAATATGCATCAGAAAAATGGTTGCTTCTCAGGAATGGAGATTAAGTGGGAAGGGGCACAAGGGAAGATTCAGGGGTTGTGGAAATGCTCTTTCCATGCTGATATATCCATTCAACACGTATTTATTAGATGTCTCTGATTTGCCAGACACTGTTCTAGGCATTGGAGATAACGGCAGACCAAGTCCCTGCTTTTACAGATCTCCCTCAGTTCTTTTAATTGGCTGTATAGCTTAATGCATTCATATTAAATAGAAAAAAAAGTGGCCTTTCTTTAAATATAGCGAAGGACAAGTCTAGAAACTTTCTTTTCATTTCACTTTTTTAGTTGCTGATGGGAAGGCAGCAAAATATGGTGGAAAGAGCATAGGCTTCAGGGAGTTGGCTCTACCACTGAACTGATTGTGTGAACTCTGAGCAAGTTCTTTAAACCTACTGCACTTTAATTTTCTTTCTGTTAGAGTTGATGGTACCTACCTTGCAGGATTGTTTTTATTTTATTTTATTTTTTTATGTTTCTTGATCCTAAACTGTCTCTGATGGATTGTTTTATAAAGTGCCAGACACACTAAAGATACTCAGTAAACATTAGTTGGTTTAAAATCAATTTACACGTAAAGTATAATTTTTGCCCAGTGACACATAAGCAAAAGGAGGCCAACTTGGCTAGGAAAGGTTTTCGTTTTCTTTGCTTTTTGCTCTTCTTCTTTCTTCTAACCTGCAATGTGAACATGATGGCTGGAGCTCCCACAGCCATTTTGGACAAGGAGGTAACCTCGAAGATAGAAGCTACATGTCAGTATGGTGGACCAAAAAGACAAGGAACCCGTATCCCTGTGACAGTAGAGCTGCCTGCCATACCAGCCCTGGGTTGCCTGCATCCAGACTGCCTTTACTTGGGAGAGAAATAGTCATATATCTTGTTAGATGTCTGTTGCAGCCAACTGTAATCCCAATAATATACCCTGTTAGTGATTCCACAGCTCCCTGTAGTACTTCTTCATAGTATCTATCACAGTTGTAATTAAGAGAATAATTATGCAATTACTGGTTTAATGCCTAAGTTATTGGCTAAGTCCCCAACTAGAACATCAGTGCCTTGGGGGCTGGGACTAGTATGTTTATGGGTGTATCTTCAGCTCTTTTTTTTTTTTTTTTTTTTTGAGACAGAGTCTCACTCTGTTGCCTGGACTACAGTACGGTGGCGTCAGCCTAGCTCACAGCAACTTCAAACTCCTGGGCTTAGGCAATCCTCCTGCCTCAGCCTCCCAAGCAGCTGGGACTACAGTCATGTGCCACCCTACCTGGCTAATTTTTTCTACATAATTTTAGTTGTCCGGCTAATTTCTTTCTATTTTTTAGTAGAGACGTGGTCTCGCTCTTGCTCAGGCTGGTCTCGAACTCTTGAGCTCAAATGATCCACCCTCCTCGGTCTCCCAGAGTGCTAGGATTACAGGCGTGAGCCATCGTGCCGCTTCAGCTCTTATAACAATATCTGGTTCTTATGGATAGTAAACACTCAATAAATGTAGAAGAGAGAAAGGAAGGGAGGAAACAGCTGTCTCTGATTAGGAGAGAATTCACCTCATGAGAAAGTATGGAGTGAGAAGGGAAGAGGGTGAAACCAGAAGCCCGCCTGCTTTAACTCCAGGGCACACATTCCTTCTCTCTCTGGCTCATGAATGTGCATCTGGGTGTGCTGGATATTTAAATTCGTGATCTGTCACACACTCTATATCTCCCATGGGATCTGCCTCACAGATGGTACCTTTTCCTGAAGAGTCTTAAATTAACCTGCTCATTTGTCTCCCACTCCTGCCAAAGCAGCCATTTCCCCAAGAGGAGAGCTGCAAATGATCCAAAAGTTTGGGCGGAGGAGTGAGAGGCTTTCTTTTTTTTTTGTTTTTTTTGAGATAGAAGGCTCACTCTGTTGCCCAGGCTAGAGTGAGGCTGCTCGCAATGGCATCAGCCTAGCTCACCAGGGCAGACCTCAACTCCGGGCTCAGCGATCGCGTGCTGCTCAGCTCGCCAAGTACAGCGCTGGGACTACAGCGCAGGAGCAGCACGCGGATGGGCCCGGGCACCGCCGTAACTTTTTTGCTGTA